TTCGTTGGAGTTGCTTCAACAGTATGCTCATTCTCGGCCGCAACATTGGCTGCTGAACTTTTCCAAAAATGTACATTACTCATCCAGATTCCAAATGTCAAGCTTCTTAATTGCAGCAGTGCTGTTCCGATTTGTTTTAGCTTCGACTCTTCACGGCCATTTCATTTCGCGTCAATGATACATTTTTTCGTTAACAAACTTTTCACAACTAATCGGTTTAACATTTCACATCGTGTTAACATTACGATAGCCAAGCGGTGTATTTGTAGAAAAAGACCACGTCAGATCACATGGTAAAACAAGCAGATAGATGCGGAAATGAAAATAAATTGTTCGACCGCGCGCGTGAACCAAAGCGTGCAGCTGAAATTGGTCTATATAACGATATAGTTTATCGAGTGTAGTTTGGCAAGCGATAAAATCCAAGTCGATCCATACACACGCGCGCGCACACACGCACGCACGCACGCACACAAGGTCATTATTTTGTCAGCAGAATTATGTCGATTCAATTTATGCTTCGCACATATGTACAATTTCTGATTTTACTCATTTGGAGGCAATCTGCTTAAATGTACTGAATTCCTTTGCCGACAATAAATGAACGACAAACGAATTCAAGTATTGCAAAAAGAAAGCTGATTGACAAAATGAGATTACATGTTGAGTAATGGGAAATGCACAAAAAATTTGAATTCGTGAATATTAGGAGAACATAATTAAATTGCTTATGGTGCTGATCGAAGAATCATACAACGAGCGTAGCAAATGAAAACTGTAAAAACCTGTCTGAAACGTCTCTATAATAATGCGAATCTAGTTAGCTCTGGTATCAGAACGTTGTTTTCGTAAAAACTCACGGCCAACCGTGCGCGCAAAAAAATAGAAAAATCATAAAACTAGTTTTGGCTTTCGATTAGCCGAGAATAATAATGTCCTCCACGCCGAGATAGTCCCTGTCGACATCTTGCGGAATCAGTCGGTCAGCTCGACGGACGACGGTTGAGGCTCAGTTAGATCCATTAGTCGATCACGCAGAGAGCTGCCGAGAGAGCGCCATCTGTAGATTTTGGAAAACAATTCAAATGGCGCAACGCGGCATCCACTTTCTCTTCGTTCGAATAAATGCTCGTCGGAAAAGAAATTCAATTGGGGAAACTTGCTAAAATGAGTTTAACGTGGAATCTGTTATATCGAGATTACTTCCTTCGCTTAGCTTGGGAATGAGAGAGAGAGGGGAAAGCCCAGCAGCTGCCCTTCGTCGACCGACAGATCGAATTGCAATCTGGAGATAGCAAACGATTTGTTGTTCAATCGGACTGAAAACTCAGTGAGACCGTTTATTTGTATTGTGGACCACGCACAATACACAGTACACCGGCAAGAGCTCGGCTTGTAACGAGAGTTTTGTCATTTTTAGTAGGTTGTAACGTTTCTGAACAATATAGAACGACACGATTAAGAAGAACCAATCGAAGCTGCAGTCGCAAATAGTTTTGCGAGGAATATTCCAATTTTTCTTCCACCCGAGCATCTTCGGTTCCGGAAATATCGATTCACTCAGCCGCAACATTGTAAAATGATCCGGCTGAGTAATTTATATCTTCTTAGATAATATTTTGAATTGAAGCGTACAATCGAGTCGCTAGGTTTTGTAAAACACTTGGTCGAAAGTACGTTATGCCTAGCAAGCTGAGTAAGAAGCTCGAGACAACGCGACGAGCACCTTGAACTTGTTGCGCCATTCGCGGGGGAGCAAGTATTACCTGTTGTCGAAATTCGGTTGAAAAAGCGCGAGATGAGTGCGATGCGCAAGATTCACAGGTGGGATAACGAGAGCCTAGAGCGCGGATCGCGCGGGGTCCCGTCGACAGGTGCTCGCGTGGGCCGCCTAATCGGTTACGACTGTAACGAGGCGCAAAGTGGCTGCATTATTCATAAACGGCTTATGGCTGGCCGCGCGCTGTCTATGCGCGCGTCTCTTGTGGCCGCGGCTGGCCAAAGGGCGACGTAATAAACGCGCGCCTCTTCATACGCTTCGCGCATCTCGATGGCTCTCCCTAGGCGCTTGTCTCTCCATTATAACGTTGCACTGCTAATTGGATTCGAGCCCTCCCCTCTCTACCAACCAATTTCGCCAACTGCAATCTCTCTCTCTCTCTCTCTCTCTCTCTAAACGAGCCGGTAATGAACGAAAAAAAAAGGTGAAAAAAAATCAGCGCAGCAAAGTCGTTGCGAGATCTCGCACAAATTGCGCAGAATCGTGGCGTTTTGGCACGCAACTGGTGCGGCGCCACCAGGGACAGGAGCAAATCTCTCGAGTGCATGCGTTCGCCAATCTCAGCCGCGTTATACGTTTCGCTTGCCGACGCGTAGCCTCCGTAATTCAGTCTGTATTCTATTCTCCTCCACTTTTCCCGTGCTCAACGGGGCGCGAGTCGACGCGACAATCATTGAGACGCCACCTTACATTTCACGACGAAGCCCATCGAAACCGATATCGTCGTTAAACGCGTTCGCGTGAAAAGCGCGACGAATCGCGCTCATCGCGATAAAGAGCTTCGACACGTCGAGATACCCCATTGGCAGCTACGCTAATGACGCTGCGGGTAGCCAAACGATATCGGAGAGAAGAGCAGAGGGCCAGACGACCGTAGTTTCCGCCTTTGTGCTCGCCGCGCGCGCGAGTACACGTGCATTATTTTTGTTTGTTCTTCCTCGCGCTGCTTGCTCGCAACTCACGGACGACGTTCGAAAGGCGTCGGAAGGGCCAATGAAAAACACCACCGCGCTGTCGTTTGAAAAAATTTTCCTTTATTTTTCTTTTTCTTTTATTCCCTTTCGTCTCGTTAAAACAAGGCACTTATAATCAACGTAGAACATATGTATCGTTTTCAATGTTGTTTTATTTTCTCTTCGTCTCAACGCACAATTGACATTTGGCGTCGCTGCAACAGGATGGTCAATGTCCGTTAGCGCAAACATTTTTTTGCTGTTTTTGTCGAACATACACCGAGACAGCCCGCAAGAGCGTACCAGTCGCGGAAATTTTGCGTTAATGAATTTCCGTGGCTTTTGTTGGCTTTTTCTTTTGAATTTCAATGAATCGCGATGAATTTCGACGAGCGCTGGCACATTTTGCGGAGTGTAGCTTTACACAAGCATAGTGTTGTGCGTTCATGCACGAAACGTGTATTATGTTTCCAGTAATTTCAACAGGTTTCAGTACAGGATCATATAACTATTCTATACCATGTAGAATTTTCGATAAAATAATACGAATGACTGCTACGGACAATTATGGGTACAGAAATTGTTAGTTTTATTTGACCGAAGATCAAATTGGGCATAGAATTCGAGTGAAAATCGAATTAGCCAGACCGCCTCGGCAAAGGACGTGGGCAATTAACGATTACAATGACCTATACTCAGCACTGTCTACGCGAGAATTGTCGGGAGGCTTGGCGCGCGGATAATAACCGAATCGTGAAAAATTGTTGCTTGCGCACGTTCGCCAAAGAAAGCTGCGAGCGTTGGAGAAGCGAGGGAGGAGGGAGGATGGGATCGAGCGTAGCGGGCGACTGTTTTATTAGCTATACGTCCCCAAATGAACGAACGCTCGGCACATCTCGCGGGACGCTCCATCGTAAAAGTAACTTCGACGTACGAGCATCCTTCCTGCTTGTCCTGCGCGCATCGGAAGATCATCGCGAATGAAGCGTCCGAGCGGATGTCAGATCGGTACGCCAACGAAAATACAATAAGCCAGATCCCGTCGCGCGGATTGCATCGTTCGAATCGAACGATAAACAGTGTCAGCTTCTCGCTGTTGCCCAGGCGTTAATTTCATTAAGTTGGTTTAGTAAAAAAGTACAAAATATAAAAGTAATGCATAAAAGTGGGCCGCCGACGAAAGGTGAATTGGCGAGAGAGTCGGTAACGTCGATATTTTGCCGCGCGGCAAAAGCAAAAGTCCGAGAAACCAATCGATGAGCCCCAAAACAAAGCAGTTTTGATTTGGGCACTTTGCTACAAACTAGACGTCCATTCCCGTCGCCCAGTGGCATTGAATCCCTCGGCTCTAAGATCGATCCCGGACGAGAATTATTTACAAAGGAACCGCGCCGACGAGCGCGTCAATTGCTGCGGAATCATTGGTAGTCGCAGGTTACAAAGCAAGATAACAAAGGGAGCTAGGCGTACTCGGCTGCTCCTCGCTTTCATCCTCGCTGCCTCGGCAAACTCGTCGAACTACTTGAAATGCCAGTCTCGATTTTCCGATATGTAACGCCATGTTCCGTGCGCGCGTGCACTTTTTTCCCTACTTTTCTACAGCTTTGGGTCACAAGCGAAGCTTTTTATTTGCCGCTAATAACCAGAAAGAAAGAGAGGGGGGAGCGTACACGTTACGGATACCACAAAGGCTGGTTACTGATCCAACGATCCTTGTCGTGTGTTCTTATTGGCTCGTTCGCTTCGATGTAAACTACAATGTAACGCCGTCCGGTCTATCACATTAAAAAGAATATGATAGCTCGCAAATTGGAAAAGTTGAAGCTTCCGAGCATTGGAAAAAGGAGTCTAGGCATTTGCGCGCGACCGAGCACAGTAAACGCGAGAGTATATCTGTAAATGCATGCAATAACATCGAGCAAGTATTGTGGTAGGTATTATTGCACGGATCGACAATGAAAGACGGAGTTGCGGCGAGATTGCATAAATGGTTTGCTTTGATTATTAGGGTAGTTTGTACTTATTAAGATCTGAAAAGATTTCAAGTCTATATATCCACCGAGATGCTCAATATAAGTAGATATGGAATATAATTCAGCTATTGTCAAAGTATGCGTTAATTGATAATTCATATGGCAGATGCAAGTGAATCGTCGACGATTCACGTGCCGAAGAAGCGTGTACTTACACGCGCAATTAATATATATATATATATATATATATATATATATATATATATATATATATATATATATATATAGCTACACTCGACCGGGTCTACAGCGACACAATTAACAATGTACATATATTTATTTAAAAAATACGTCTTATACTAAAATAGCTTTCTCTGTTTGCGTCTGACTGTTTCTCTTGGTGTCTTTATCACATGATTACTTGTGCGTAACTTGATCGTCCTCGGGCCTCGCGGTGTCGGCGGCGTCGCGATTATCGAGAGCAGGTGTGCTCCGGCGCCGCAGCGCGGAGCTTCATCACGCCTCCTCGGCCTTGACTTTGCCGGGCGAGGCGTGCACCGCTGCCGGCTTGCCGGCGCCCCTGGCGCAGAGCCTCCAGCAGCTCGCGGAGAAGGCCGACTGCTCGAAGGGCTTGAGCTCGGCGAGGATGTCCTGGATCTCGTTGAAGGTCTTGCGCTTGGTCTCGGGCACGAAGGCGTACACGAAGACGAAGAGGATGGTGCAGGAGGCCGAGAAGAAGAGGTAGGGCACGTGCGGGCCGACGTTGGTGAAGATCACCTCGAACATCTTGGAGACGACAAAGCCGGTGAGGCCGTCGAAGACGGTGACGATGGCGCCGGCGATGCCCTTGACGTTGGTCGGGAACAGCTCGCCGATGAGCAGGTTGGGCATGGTGCCGAGGCCGATCTGGTAGACCACCTGGAAGACGATGACGTCGAGGACCGGCAGTAGGTTGATGGCGCTGTTGACGCTGCACAGAGAGAGAGAGAGAGAAACGGATTCGAGCGGTGAGCGAGCGGGCGAGCGAGCGAGCGAGCGGCGCGAGTGTCGCGGGCGTACTTGTCCTTGGGCGCGTGATCGACGGCCAGGTAGGCGCCGAGGACGCCGAGGACGACGGCGCAGCCGAAGCCCGAGAAGATGAGCAGCGGCCGGCGGCCGGCGCCCTCGACCATGAGGGTGCAGGTGGCGCCGGACACGAGGCCGACGGCCAGCACGATGATGGTGGCCACGTGCGAGTCGACGGCGCTGTCGGCCGTCTCGAACATGGTCTCGAGGTACTGCATGGTGCTGAAGTTGCCGCTGAGCTGCTGGCCGAGGATGAGCGCCATGACGATGAGCAGGGCGCGCCGGTTGTTGGTCTTCATCAGCAGCAGGAAGTCGCTGAACTTGAACTTGAGCTCGTCGGCGCTGCTCTGGCCGCTGCTCGCCTGCTCGCCGATGTTGCGGCGCACGAGCTCGAGCTCCTGGCGCAGCTCGGCCTCGTCGCCGAGGCCCTTGAAGAAGCGCAGCGCCCGCAGCGCCTCGGCGCTGCGGCCCTTGCTCACCAGGTAGTAGGGGCTCTCGGGGAACCAGACGAAGCTCGCCAGGAAGAGCACGGGCACGGCCAGCATGACGACGCCGAGCACGCGGTAGGCCACCCACGGGCCCACGCTGCAGGCCAGCAGCGAGCCCGTGAACACGTTCACGGCGATCAGCGTGGAGAGCGCGCCGCGGATGTTCACGTCGGCCACCTCCGACACGTACATGGGGTTGGCCGTGTAGGACATGCCCACGCCGATGCCCAGGATGATGCGCGACAGGTACAGGTACCAGGCGGCCTGCGCGAAGATCACCAGCAGCCAGCCCGTCACGTAGAAGGCCGCGGTCGCCAGCAGGCACAGCTTGCGCCCGTACCTGCGACACGCGCCGAGCGCTCGTTAGCCCGGCTCTCGCCGTCGCCCGGGCCGCGGTCGCCCGGGCCGCGGTCGCCCAATACTCACGAGGCGGCCACGTAGGCTCCGTAGAACGGCCCGATCATCGATCCTATCACCGTCACCGACACCACCCACGACGACTCGTCGGCCTCTATGCGGAACGGCAGGTCGTCAGCGATGTGGTTCAGCCGCTTCTGCATCGTCGTGGTCCAGCCGTACACCGTGCCCGCGGCTACCATCGACAGGGTGGCTGCAACGTGGTCGCGCCTCGTCAGACCTCGGCAAAGTCAGCGCAAGCGAAATCTCCCCCGAGTCCTTCCGCGCTCGCGTCCGGGTCAATTTCGTTTCTGGCTTCGCGAGGAGGTAGCGGCAGGTAGGTCGAAAGCCTAGTGCCAGGCAAACTTTGCCAGTTGGATGGAACAACGCAGAAAAGCTTTCAACTAGCAAACTTTGCGCCGAGTCGCGCGAAAAAAACAAAGAGAGAGCGAGAGAGCGGTGGATGTCGTTTAGCTCAACGCAGGTTGCACGGGCCGCTCGCGACTACAATGAGTTGAATTTACGAGAAGCCGCACTCTAAAGTTATGCTGGGAATTTACGATTGTCGCGGACGCGAGGCTTATTACCGGAAATGCAGGCTGCCCACTGCTTCCACTGCGTGCGACGGCTCCTCGGCTGCTTCGCCACCTTGGCTGCGTCCATCTCCTGGATCTTCGGCGTCTCCTTCAGCCCGTTCAGCGGGACCAACTGCAAAATTGCAACCATGCGATCAACCACAAGCATCTCCATCGATCGGTCTTGAAAGCGTGACAATGCACGGGCATAGCGTCGCTAGCGCGGCTCGCCATTCGCGATCGCTTGGAGCGTAAATTTCGATAGCGCGGAACGGGGTATCATGGTGAAGCGGCGTGATTCTATTAATAGTGAGTCGATTGCGACAGACCGACCCCACGAGGCGCGCCACGTGATCGAGGCGGTAGCCGGGTGAGCGAAAGAGAAGCGCGAGGTCGAGGTCGAGGAGGGCGATAGGCCGAGGCGCAACAGTGCGCGGCGAGTCAGCGCGACGAAAAGCAATTGCCAGGCGCTGGCGAAAATCGGGAAATTGAACGGATCCCGGCGCGCGGCGAGGTTGCGCGCGCAGCGCGCCGAGGCAACTTGGCGGTGCTGCGAGGGCGCGCGGCGCGCTTGCAGTCCGACAATCCTCACAGCTGACTCGCGCTGGCTACTGCTCGCTGTTACATCGGTGCGCACGTGCGATATTTTGGTCGCGTCCGTCTCGAATCGATGAAAGAGAGAGAGAGAGAGAGAGAGAGAGAGACAGAGAGAGAGAGAGACAGACAGAGACAGAGAGAGAGAGAGAAAGAGAGTGAGAGAGCCCGCACGAAAGAGAGAGAGAGAGAGAGAGAGAGAGAGAAAGAACGCGTGCTGGTCGAGCTCGAGGCTGGAAGAAGACCGCAGCGGAGGCGAAGCGAAGAGGAGACGATGCACGAGCGGCGCCGTGATACCAGAGAGTCGTTAGGCCGACTCATCTTGCTGCACTGTCCGCGCACTGGCACTGGCACTGAACACACTGGGTGAGCGTCTTCGTTGCTAGCGACTATGTTACGCGAAGTCGGCGGCTGCGAGGCCAGTCGTCAGTAGCAGCAGCAGCAGCAGCAGCAGCAGCAGCAGCAGCAGCAGCAGCAGTAGCTCGACGACCAGAGCTGTGCGCGACCGAGCCACCGAGTAGAGAAGCGCGCGCAGGCGCCGCCGCCGCGCTCGCGGCCTACTCGATCAGCCGCGGCGCACGCGGGAAAATGCCAGGCCTTTTGACTTTTCCGGTGCGCGCGCGCGCGCGAAGCCTCAAGCCAGCCGGACGCGCGCCAGCCGCCGCGCGTCCCTACTACTCGCGCCAAGCTTATCGGGCCGCCCGCCGAGCCCCACTTCTTCGCCGAGCGCTCGTCAAACTTGCGTGAATCCGCCAAGCTCGGCCGGCCCACTGCTCGTCGCTCGCGGCCCGAAATAACGGCAAATCGCTGTTTTCCTCCGCAGCCGGCGCCAACCGAGCGACTCCAGCTGTCCCGGTGGGTCTGCGCGCGCGTTCGCCGCTTTACTTTTTTTCACGCGATTCGACCAATTGACTCGAGTTACGCTTTCGATACCCGGCGACTTCGCCTTTCCATCCTCGCTGCCTTATCTCGTTTGCTTTGCATTTGTGTTTTTCTTTGATAAGTCATTGATATGCTTGACGCACGTGCGCTTACTTGTGTGCTGAGAACGGCATTTGAAAATGGTCCGCGCGAAGTGACTGCGACCGGGCGGAAAATGAAAAATCACACAAACAGAAAAACGTTACATACAGCGACTAGAACGCTTACGAGATGCGAACGCGCGCTCCGAAGCGATCGTAATAATCGCGAAATACAATTCTCGCAGGCTCCGGAGCACGAGCTTGGCCGACTTCGCAAGCGCGCATCTCTGCCTCGAAAGCGGAGCGTCGAAGCACGAGTTTTGATGGGATAACGCACTCTTTCGATCGCCAGTCAGAGAGCGCGCCGATAGAAAAGGCGATCGTTTACCTTGAGCGGGCGTGGGCTCGCGCGGGCGTGCAAAGGCGGAGAGAGAAAGAGAGATAGCGGCGTTAGTCGAGCCGTCGGAGGCGCCTCAGCCGTGCGCGCGTGGACACGAAGGCGGTGAGAGCGGCATGCCGTCGTCGCAGGATCGCCGCGTGACTGAGCGGTGCGGATGCTAGGAGCGGCTAGATAAGCGCATCTCCGACGCGTAGCGCGAGCGGCGGCGAGAAAGCCGGCCGAGGCCAGTGCGCCGGCAGCGGCAGGCCAAAGTACTACTGCGGCACCGCGCGAATCGCGCGTTTCTCGCCATACTGGCGAATTGGCCTTAATCGCGTTAGCGCTTAATTGCCCCGACGCGGTAACGACGATTCCGAGGATGCTTCTACTCCGGTTACTCGTTCCGTGCGTCCGTGCGTCGCGCGCGCTTGTCCTCGGGCGTCCGCCGCGCGACGCCCTTCGCGAGGTCCGAGCCAAGCTCCGCGACAATGCCGAAGACGCGCGGATCGATTACGAGCGTGCAGCCCGCGGAAAAGAGAGAACCGCTTCTGTTTGGACGCCAACGGTGCAGCTGCTCCCATGAGGCTCGCGGCGCTCCGATGACGTAATGCCGGACGGCAACGCGCTATTTGCCTCGTCGCAACGACAACGATTTAATCGACGGATCTCGACGGAGAGCCAATAACGCACGAGTCCGCATCGGCAGGTGACGCTGGTAATTTCGCGGACAACGGAGCGACGGGAAGCGGGCCAAAGTCCAACAACGGGATACCGTGCGCGCTGAAATCCAATCTCGGCTGCGCGCGCGGCCGTCGGGGCGCGGTGCGCTGTTACGCCGCGCTCGCGGTAAATATCGCGCGGAGCTGGATCGGCAGCGAAACGAGGCGAGCGGCAGAAAAGCTCGGCCGGTAATCGAATATCGGCGCGTGGCTAAGTTCGGCGCCCGGCCCGGAAAAAGCCCCGCGCCCGGGCGATTCGCTTTGTGCTTTGCGCAGCTGCGACCAACGCGACGTTCGCCGTTTTGACAATCCGACCCGAGGCGATCCGTCGGTCAGGCGAGCGGGCGTGCGCACCTCGTTTCGCGGAGTGACTCGGCAAACAATAGCCGCGGCGCTGTATACCACCGTCCGCCCCGCCGCCCCATTTCCCTCATTAGCGTGCGTAAAGTTTCGAGCGCGCTTTTGGCTTCGCGTCTCTCTGTGCACACGCAGAGTTTCGCTCGGAACGGCAATCGTTACAGATTAAGTCTTGTCCCGTTCATTAATTAACGAACTCGCCATTATCAAACCTCGCCGTCGGCTGCTTCATTACGACTGCTTGCGCGCCTTTTGCGCCGCGTGCTTGCGAGGCGAACGACGCAAAATGGCGCTTCCTCTCGGCGTTCGCACGCCCGACCGAGGGCAAATTCGATCTCAGAAGTTATTTTTCAAGGAGACGACAACTTGCCCCGACAACGTCTTGCCTCGTAATATTCAACGCTCGCTGGCAAATTTCTCACTTTGCCACGCTCCAGTACCGTATTCAATTAACGCCAATGGCCGTTCCGCTCGCTTAATGCCATTTTCACGATTGCCGTCTCAATTATATCGCGATAAACGCAATGACGAGGCAGCCGGCGCGGCGCCACGTCGGCCAATCGAAAGAAAAGCTTTTGGCGAGAACGACGACGAACGGTAGTCAATCGCGGGCATCCGCAATCCATTATCGGCGCGCGCACGGTCGACGAGTGCGCGCCGCGGCAACGAATCGGAAATTAGGCGCTCGGCCGGCCAAATCGCCGCGTCATAAGTGCGCTCGCGTCGGTCCGGCGCGCCAATCGTTAAACGTAATCCACGCGTCGCGGTGAGCCGCTCGCCGAAGTCGTTTGCCCGCCGAAAAATTGAGCGACCTCCGGAGCCGCTGCTGGCGCGCGCGCACGCGTGTCTCGCGTCGCCCCGCGCGCGCCAGCCGTGCCACGGCTCCGCGATCTTCGCTCGTCCGTTATTCGCTTGACGTCCGGCGCGTCCGCGTTAAAACGTTAATCGATCAACAAATATCGCGCTGAATTTTCGCTCCCTAATTGACAAGCTCTCTTTTCGAAATCCAGACCGACGAGGTGCCGCCGATGAATTCCCGAGGCGGGGAGACAAATCCGAGCAACATTGACACGGCACTTCGTTCGAATTTCAGCGCACTCGTCGATTATTTTTCGCGTTGAACGCGCGGCCGAAGAGCGAGCCGCAGCGCGGATTCGAGGGGCGCCGGCCGCGGCTGAATGGACACTTCTAATCAAGCTGGATATTTGACGGGCGCGGCGCTCTATCGAGGTCGAGCGAGTTCGTCCGGTGAATTCGGGATGTGACGGACCAGCAGCCGTCGGAACTTGGTACACGCCACCTGCCGCTTTTATCCGGGCGATTTCGCGCGGCACGTCCGATGTATATAGATTTTGTCAAAACGGGCCATCGCCGACCTGCCACCACTCGTAAGTTTGTTCGCGTAACGACCTGGCCTCTGCCGTGCGTATTTGGCCTGGGCTTAACTCGTCATTGTCAGGAAGGATCGAACAAATGCAGTGTTGCCCGGCCAAGGCGCGACTGGTCGAATGCGCCGCTTGTCGACACGTCGGGCCGCAACGAGCCGACTTTCCCGAATGAAAAGCTCAGCCGTGCGCGCCTCGCGGATTTGCAGCTCGATCTTGGCTCGAGTCGCCAATGCTGCTCCGCGAGAGAAAGAGAAAACGCGACCGCGAGGGAGTTCGATCCCGCGCGTTCGTCGTGCTTTTCAATCGGTCGAGCCGCCGCGTCAACGTGTTACGTCTCGTCTTAGCTCGGCTCGACGGGAGAGACGCAATTTCGCCGACGAGATATCGCATGTAAATATTACATTTATTGGGATTAGGCTATTGTATTACAGCCACACCGCGTATGCATATATCGCCGAGCAACGTGCGGCTAATTAATTGGCCTTGCTGCTTGTCTGCAATTTCTGTTCAACAGACGATACGTGCATAATGTACCTCGTAATGTATTCACTGACTGGTGCGCGCTAAAGTATTAATGCGTCATGTTCTGCTCGGATAATTAGACCTACATGTGTTGTGTCGCGGCTCCGGTAACTTTCGCCCGTAAAAATCATCTAAAACAAGTCGAAGCGAACAGTCGATCGCTCAGCTTAAAAACAAACGGATGTTTTACATATTCGACGCGCTGGATCGATAATCACACTAGACTGGGCTGTGGTTGCGCAGAGCCAATTGGCCTAGCAGTCGCAGGCCGAAATCCTCGATTCACGCAACAATGGGCAAATTAAAGAAAATATAATTCGACGATGACCCGATGCGATGCGCGAGTAGAAGGAAATACAAACGAGCCGAAAAACGTTGTTTCTTTTTCCGCCTGGTAATTGGAAAACTGGCATCGATGATTAACACGTTTGGGGAAAGTTGGACGATCGTCGGCGAAAGTTCGGAGATAAAGCATCGCGATTTACAATTGGCCTGGACGCGCGCTTGAGAATAATATCTATTGAACTTCCGAAATAGTTAAGGTAGGAGCGAGGCAAAGGTCGCAAGTCCATCTCGCAATACTTCACGTTACCCGATCTCGCAAAACTTGTCAGTCGTTTGCCGATGTACACGATGGTTATTCTCGCACTCTCGTTGGATTACGTGCATGTATACGTGTCCCGACGTGGTAAGCGAGCGCCGGCGCCAAATGGACGCTGCCGCTCGACAACGTCAGTCGACTGGGATTCGGTCGATCGACGAACTCGATGACCGTGAGTTCGACAAGGGCGAAGAGAGCCGGCGCGCGCAAAGCGTAAAGTAGAGAGCAGCAGCTCATCGAGTTGTGGCGAGTCGAGAGGGCGGAAAAAGCTCGTCGGCCAGCGCTGATTATTATACGTGTTAATTAAAATGTGCCTTTGCGCTTTTGGACGGCTGATTCGGGCCGAACTTTGTTGGCACTCTTGTGCGCTTACAGAGAGTGAGAGAGAGAGAGAGAGAAGGAGCGAGAGAACTGTTAAGCGCATAAAGGGGCAAAAACGCGTCTGCAATCGCTTCCGGCTCGAATATTACGTTCGCCTCGTTGAACCTCATTTTCAAGTACGGTAGTCCGATTCGCCCGACGTGCCCCATTGTTATACCTGCTCTTTTCTTTTTTCCTTCTTTCTTTTTTTATCAAACGTTCATCCCCGCGCGTATCCGCGTCACTTTCTTTTTGGTCTCTGCCTGCCCGGTCGTCCGGCCCTCGGCTCGACCCTATTAAATAGCATATTCATTTAAGTGAGTCTTGGTCCGGGAGTGGCTGTGCAGTGTTGCGAGGATTTGCATATTTTTCATTTAACTCCACGACTGA